AATGCCTTTCCTCCAGCTCCTGGTGCTTCTAGTTTATACTGGTCTTGATCTGTCAATACAGTCATGTGACCTGCCCTGAGGCACAAAGTACACCAGTAGAAATGATCCAGGGTTTTGGGTTTGCAGCAAAAATAGTCTCTAGAGCTCTCTCCTTGTTTTCTAAGCAGACACAAGCACATCTTAAAATATGAACCTGTACCAGGGTGACCAGACAGCAAGTGTGAAAAATCGGGACGGGAGTGGGGGGTAATAGGCGCCTATAGAAGAAAAAGGCACAAGTATTGGGACTGTCCCTATAAAATAGGAACATCTGGTCACCCTAACCTGTACAGCAAACAGGGAATGGGGAATAACTGGCCAGATGGCAGTACTGCTGAAAAAGATCTCTGGGTTAGAGTGGATCACAAACTGAATATGAGTCAACAGGGTGATGCAGTTGCATAAAAGGCTAATACCTTTCTGGGGTATATTACCGTAGCAGGCGTGTCATATGTCAACGACTGGAGGGAATTGGCCCACTCTACTCAGCACTGTTGAGGCCTCAGCTGCAGTCCTGTGTCCAATTCTGGGCACCACACTTTAGGAAAGATTTGGACAAATTGGAGAGAGTCCAAAGGAGGGCAACAAAAATGATAAAAAAAAGATTTAGAAAACCTGACTTACAAGGAAAGGTTAAAAACTGGGTATTTTTAGTCTTGAGAAAAGAAAACTGAATGGGGGGATCTGTTCAAAAATGTTAAAGGCTGTTATAAAGAGGATGGTGATCAATTGTTGTCCATGTCCACTGGACGGCAGGACAAGAAGTAATGGGCAAAATCTGTAGCAAGGGAGATTTAGGTTAGCTATTAGGAAAAACTTCCTAACTATAAGTGCAGTTAAGCTCTGGAATGGACTTCCAAGGGAGGTTGTGGAATCTCCATCATTAGAGGTTTTTAAGAAGAGGTTGGATAAATACCTGTCAGGGATGGTCTAGGTTTACATGTGCCTGTCTCAGAGCAGGGGACTGGACTTGATGACCTCTCATGGTCTCTTCTAGCCCTACATTGCTATGATCCTATGATAACCAAACCTCTTTCCTGAAGAAGCGTGTGTGTTTTTAAAAACTACACATGATGTTACTTAATATACTAAAATGTAAAACCAGAATGAAGAAAGCTATGGCCCCCACGGTGTGGAAAGCGCTTTAGAGAACGCGTTGTTCTCTACTTGGAGGGATGTTGCAAGAAGCAGTGTTACAATTCACTAGGTACTACCCTTCTGGAGACTTAAACTGACTGCTCCGTAGGCTATTTAATATGAATCTTTGCAGATAACGTGCAGTGTCTTTATATTACAGCAAACAAGCTAGTCCTAGAAACATTATGAGGCATGTGAGCGGTGTATATGTATGTAACAAGTTTTCCCGTCCACAAAACACGGATCCTACCCCATGAAGTTGGTATGGGTGAATGCTGGGAGTTCTGGCTGGAAGGAGGTACGGAACAGCTGAGTAGATACATATATACACGTGTCTGTAACTTTACTCTCCCTCCCGTTCCCAGAACAGCTCTCTTTCCTGACACCTAAAGACTGTCCACACCTCCTCCTCCAAGCTATATCTGGGCCACTCGCAGCTGCAACGGCTTCCACTCTGACCAACCCCATGGATGTCATCAGGGCTCGCGTGCAGGTAAGAGCTCGGCCTAAAGGTAATGTGGTCTAGAGGACAGGACTGGGAGTCACAAAGCATAAGTTCTGTCCCAGCTCTGCCACTGATCTGTGCAGCTGTGAGCAAGTCACTTTGTCTCTTTTCTCAATGGCTTCTAGCGTTTATTTCTAGGTGCTCCGATGGATTGTTGCATAGTGGGTCTTAAAACCTCCTGCGCCTCACTCTCCCTGTCTGTAAAATGGGGAGAATACCCCTTTGTTTTTCTCCTGTTCTAGTGTCATTAAAGGCTTGTCCAGAGTGGAGTCAGAACCTTGCTAGCTACAGCCACGTTGTGAGGCTGTTGTTGGTCACAGGGTTCCCGGACTGGTATGATCAGAGAAATGATACTGTGTACATTTCATGTAACCTTGCTATGGATTGACTTCTAGGGGAATCTGTAGCACTGTTCTCAGGGGAAAGATCCCTCTCCACAATGGTCGTGGAATTCATGCCAGTACCCTGGCAGAGTTTAAATTTAATTATACCACCCTGCTTCTCCGGTGTATTTTATTTGGTTTATTTCCTGACCTGATGAGCACAAAAATACCCAGCTCCTCTTTTGTTTTTCCTCGACACTTCTCCTGATCTCCGCTCTCCGGACTGTAACAGCATCAGTATGTAAAGAGCTGCTGGGAGGCAGTGAGCAGAAGGAGCCAGTAACTTACACCTGCATTGCACACGTTCCTCCCCAAATGATATCCATGTAGCACTGCTGAAAGGCGGCCACCTCTGGGGATGTGGGCAGCACCCAGCAGGAAGTGAAATTCTGTCCCACGACAAACTCCAGGCTTGTGGGGTCTCTAATGTAAACACACAGGGGGATGGAGCAAACATAAAATAATGCAAGTGGTTAAATTCCACGGTGGGCAGGTGGTTGCGTAATTGCCTTGTCACCGGGTGGGCTGGTCCTTTAAGGGAATTGGGTTTAGCTGCACATGTGACTCAGGTGGTGAGACAACAATCCAAGCACCTCAGTTAGTTGGGAGTGCTGCAGAGAGGCTCCTACGGGAAACCCTGGGCTAGGGAAAGGACCTGGAAGGCGGCTTGCCACACTAGCTAGGTGCAAGACGTGACTCAGGATCCCACTGGGTAGGCAGCAGCAGAAGAAGCCCTTTGAGGCATAGGTCTTAGGAGGGTTCATGTGGCAATCCCTGAGTTACCTGTGTGATGATGAACTGTGTTTGTCTTTGAAGAAATGGATTATTTGGAAAAGGGAACGAAATACTGACACGGGTGGGAGCTTCACTGACATGCTGGCTGAGGAACTGGCCTCTAGCTTACCCGGGAGTGGGGAAACTGAGGCAGGGTCTGATCGCAGGTTTGCGGAGTCCCAATTACAGTCGTCTTTGGGGTTTCTTGCCTCTTTCTCAGGAGTAGCTGGTTCTGGCCACTGAGCAAGGACACCGGATTTAGAGGGACTTCGAGTCTGATCTGGTGCTCTAGTTTCTATGGTTCCCCTTCAAATTAAAACCAGAAGGCAATTCAATGGTATACCTCTTGCAGGAGCTCGACAGAGTGCAATATCTTCCCATCTTATTGCAGAACAACCCCTTAGGC